AAGGGGAGGGGAGGGGGATAGTAGAGAATAGGACAGACAGCAGAATACATCAGACACTAGAAAGGCAATATGTCAATCAATGGAAGGGTAACTGATGTGATACAGCAATTTGTATACGGGGTAAAAGGGGGAGTTCATAATCCACTTGAATCAAACCGTGTAATATGATGTATTAAGAACTATGTAATGTTATGAACGACCAATAAAAAAAATAAATAAATAAAAGTCAAGGTTTCCACCTCGTACCTACAAAAATGCCCTGTAAGGCAGGAGAGCCACGATCAATATCTTATTCAAACAGGTAACATGAGAGGAGCATGCACCCCACTTTCCCAGGGCAGTTCTGAAACACAGCTGGGTGCCTGTTGCCAGAACCCCCTCAACCGGAAGCTGGGAGGGTTTCCATCAGAGTTCATGGCTGCTCAGTTTCTCCAGGCGGCTCTTGACTCTCAACTCTGGGCCTTTAGCTCCCTCTCTGAGGCAATTTTTCTTTTCTAGAAGAAATGACCCATTTTGAGTTTGAGGAGCTTCCCGGTCTGCTCCTGACTAAATGAGAATAAGGATCCCAGAGGTCACTTATCAGTTTGAACTATTTTCTTCTTTTTCTTTTACCTTACCAGTACTTTTGCTGGTAAAACCGCCTTGAAATTTTCGTGGACTTCCTGGGACTCTGCTATCAGTTTAATTAGTGGGGGCGAAGTTACATTGGTCATTCTTTTTGAGGCAGGTCTCTTCCTACTTTGGGTCATAAGTCAGGTAGTATGGGCAATACCCTTTTTTCTACTGAGAGAATCTAGTACACTGTCTTGAATCTTCCCGGGATCTTCAATTTGATGTTGCAGCTATTATTCTTTTATTTGAGATTTGGCCCCAAGCTTCATTTCATTTGGGGAATCTCATTGCCTGTGGAAATCAAGGATGATACACAATTTTATTTTCCAACCCAGCAAATCTTGGATCCTTTATTTTTTTCTCCAATTTCTACTTTCAAATTAAACCACTGCTTCTTGCCTCCTCTCCATCTTCTGATTCCCCCATCGTATCCACTTAGGACCAATGAACTAACACTGCCAACATTCTGCCTGGTGATTTCTTTAGCCAAATGAAAAGCTTATTGGAAACATTTGGCATCTTCCAGGTTATTACAGACAACAATCTTGCAAGTCATCATGCCACTATAAGATGCTGGTTCCCATTACCCAGGGGCTGTCGCAGTTCCTTCATTGTTTCTCCAACCTTCACCAATGACCACTTTGACACTTATCCAGTCTTTATGAAAGGTTTCCTCATCACTGTCTGGTCTTTGCCCCAGGCCATTTCTCAGGATTGCTTATTCTTCTGGTGACTTTGAGAGAAGAGATGCTACCTCTCTGGGGACAAGAAACAGCCCTATTCACTTTCTTTAAAAGTGGTGGACTCCCAAGCTCAGCGGGTACCTGGGTAGCCCTCTCCTGGGTCAGATCACATTGTCCCCATAGGACTTTAAGGCAAAGAGAAGCAACACACATGGTGATGCTCAGGCTGCCTGCTCTGCCATGAGCAACAAAGCCCTTTGTCTCTGACACAGGAATTTTTGTTGGTTGGAACCATCCAGGAACTAATAATAGGCTCAGTTATTCATTTGTAAATTGGGAAAAATCAAATCCCAGTTCCAACAGTCTGCATCTCCAAAAGCATTCCAAGTCTAATTTCCAATAAACCTGAGCTACTACCCAAATCTTGTGACTTCCCAAAAATCTTGCTTCCCTAAAACATAATTAGAGACAAAATGATGATGACAGCACTTTTACAAATTCAAAATGAATTCAAGATTCCTAAAGAAGAGCCTATTAACACCTCTGCATGTCCCTGTGTCACTAGAGATCAAATGAAATACTGTAGCACGGTTGGAAACTGTCTTCTTTTCAAGAAAGTTTTCTCTTTGGGAGCATTTCTCAATCTAGCAAGAGAAATTTTCAAGAACTGACCAATTTCAATGTTTCACATAAAATCTGAACAAACATAGCAATATCGATGATTCCCAGGTAACATCTACATTGCAAAATAACAAGTCAAAGGAAGCAGAGGAAAAAAGGTGAGTAGTATTAACACATCATCTACCACATGCCAAGGAACCATAAAAAGCGCTTTGCTGGCATTTATGGGAACCCTTATTGTTGTCATTGCTGTGTTGATTACAGGAGGAACAGTAACGCTTAGAACCTAGGAACACAAACCCTGGGACCACACCACTTGTTTTTGCAGCTCAGCTTGCTGGTGGGCCAGTTGACTCTCCTTCTCCATGCCTTTGTTTCCTCATCTGTAAAATGGAAATAACATCCATTCCCACTTTACAGCGTTACTAAATATTTAAAGGAAAAAGAACTAACACATGTAATGTTCTTGTAACAGTGCCGTTTGGTTTCAATAAACAGTATCTTGAGGAGGATGAGAGAAAGGAATAGGAAAACACTCTTTGGAGAGAGTTCCCAGGAAGCCAGGAGACCTGGCTCAAGGAAGACAGTCTTCAAATGTCTGGATTTCCAGGCCAATGCAACCCAACTCCAGAAACCTTGTGCATCACTCATCTTTCCCAAACATATGAATCTAATTTCTCTGATTTGAACTTGAGCCTCCAAAACTATGAGGCAGCCAGGAACGGAGATGCACACCTGTGATCCCAGCCACTGGGGAGACTGAGGCAGGAGCCTCACAAACTGAGGCCAGCCTCAGCCACGCAGTGAGACCCTTCCTCAAAATAAAAAGTACAAAGGACTGGGATTGTAGCTCAGTGGTAGAGCACCTCCCTAGCCTGTGTGAGCCCTGGGTTCAATTCTCAGTACTGCAAGAACAAACAAACAACAACAAAAACCCGTGAGAAACTGCCTTTCTGTGGTTTATGTGACCTAATCTATGAGGCTTTATCCTGGCGGCCCAAGGAAACGAATAAAATATACTATGCCAAATTTCCTCCATTTATTTTTTTACCTTATTCTTTTTTTAATCAAGGAAAGACACTGTACCAAAGGGTTTATAAAGACAAGAAACAGTATCCTACCCCATTCCTCTTCCCTCTCGGTAACATCCCGAGGAGCCTTTTTAAATGGCTTGTAAATTTCCATTTCTTCTAAACCCTTCCCAACTACTGGGAGTGAAGTGGGGGTTTCTGGTTGCTAGTCAACTTACTCTGATATGAATGTTCCACTTTGCAGTACATAAAACGCCTATGCAATGAATATGCATAATAAATTTTATTTTTTTTTCCCCAGTGCTTGAACTATTCCAGTCATTCTGCTTTGGAAGGAGGTTTGCTTGTGGAGGGCCATTTTGCCTGGAGGTGCTGTGGTCAGGTGAAAATAGCACGGGCATCACACGTGGGCCCACCAAACTGGGTGCCCACCCAGCCACCAGCCAGGTCACTTCAGTACCTTCCTTGTGGGTGCCTTGTTTCCAAAAAAAAAAAAAAAAAGGTAATATATCTCAGAACATTAATCTCAGTGCTTTCTTTTCTTGATTATGGTTCTGTGAAATGTGAAACAAGAGAGCCACCTATAAAAGATATATAGGTGATTCCAAAACCAGTTCTAACTGGTTAGTGACTACTACCTAAGACAGACCAGAGGAAGTCGTCCTTCCTCCGTGACGTCCAACACCACCGGCCACGAGGGGAGTGCGAGCCAAGGCCCTCAGGATCCATGGGCACACAGGTGGGAGCAGCTCAAAATAAACACAAAGAGCCTCGATACAGATGCTGCTGAGAAGGCACAGAAGCTGGGTTTCTCACGCGCCGCTGGTGGAAGTGTCAAGGTCACAGCCACTCTAGGAAACAGGTTGGCAGGCTCTTACAAAACCAGGCACACACGTACCATGAAGCCCCACAACTGCGCTCCTGGAACTAATTCAGAAAGTGAAAACAGATACCCACGAAGAAACCTGTACGTGGATGTTCACAACCAAAACCTCCATCAACAGGCGAATGACTGCACAAACCAACCGTGATACAGCCGCACAGTGAAGTGCACCTGGCGGCAAGAAGGGACAGTGTCCCCRCCCGCGCTCCCCCACAATCAAAGCCCTCCCCTTACACGCGGTCACAGGGGGAAATCTTAAGTGCGTTCAGCTGAGTGGCAAAGGCCACGAAATGGTACCATTCCATTTATATAATAGCCTCGAAATGACAAAATAATAGGGAAGGAAGAGGGACTGGTGGCTGCCAGAGCCTAGGGATGGTGGCCCAGGAGAGGCTGTGGAGGGGACCATCAAGGGTGTGCACAAGGACAAAGGATGACGGACAGGCTCTGTCTTGGGTTGGATTTGGTGGTGGATATGTGAACAGGACACGTGATCCGAGGGCGCAGCACTAGATACATACGTTGGACTAGTGTCACTTTGCTTTAACTGCGTAGGGGTATCTCGGGGTAAATGGGGTGAAGGGTGCTCAAGACTTTAACTGCCTTTGCATCTTTCTATTAAACTGCAGTTATTTTTAAACCTTTTTTACTCTCAAGTGCCACCTCTGGGGCTGGGGCTGTAGCTCAGTGGTATAGAGCGCTTGCCTAGCACGTGTGTAACCGGATTCAATGCTCAGCACCACATAAATATAAATAAATAAAATAAAGCTATTGAAATGCCACCATCTGAGCCAGAAGGTAGAACAGTGTCCCTGCGCCACACTCCTCCATTCTCATAACCCTCTCCTTCCACGTGACATTGTGATAGTTAATTCTTGCTTTCTGTTATATACTTACTACCTAGGCATGCTTTTCTAAAAATATGCTAATTTTTGCCTAATTTAAACTTCAAATTGAAGCAATCATATAAAATCACTGCCTTTTTGTTGTTGTTGTAACCAAGRATTAAACCACCAAGCCCT